AAGAAAGACTAGTGCTTCAACCACTGAAATGGAAAAAAGAAAAAGGAAAGGAAATATAATTGATAGACCTTCCCTTCCCTCAACTGGTGGGCGGAGTATGATGTAACCTGCAGCCCAGAAATACCTGAGTGACTAACTATGTATGTTATATGGACTATACACTGAGTGGCCAGATTATTATGAGCTCTGAATGCAAAAAACAAAAAACAAAACACACACACACACACACACACACACACACACACACACACACATATATTAGAGTATTAAAGGCCAAGTGCATGAATTCCCAGCCTGGCCAGGGGAAGGGGACATGGGCAGTTGGCTGGCCTGCTTGCTGGTCAAACTTCTGGTTGAGGAAATAATTTGCATATTAGCCTTTTATTATATAGGATATACATTGAATGGCCAGATTATTATGCGTTCAGAGATCATAATAATCTGGCCATTCAGTGTACATTGAACCACCAATTAACACCTGCCAAATACCTTAAGCCCTTGTTCCTATATGGACCATACATTAAGCCAACAAACAGCACATACTGAGTACACTGAGCCCCCATTCCTTCCCATTCCTCCCCTCAAAAGGCCTGTTCATCTCTGCACATGTTGCTGTTCTCCCCTTGTGAGACAGCCCGGCAGGTCTCTTTCCCCTATAAAGCCTGTGATCCTGGTTTTCTGCTCCAGATTGATTTCTCAATAATGACTCAGACTTGTGAGGAAGAAAGCTTCATTGCACAGCCAAGATGTCAAGCTTATCTGGTGGAGATAGAAGATTTGAGGAAAATAGAAGTAAAAGAGAAAAGCATGATTGCTACTGAGGAGTGAGGATGGAGCTGAGGTAGGACAGCATGGAGTTGTTAGCATGTTTACCAACGCTGATGTGAGAAAATGAAGACAGGCTTTCTGCCAAAATAAACATTGTATGGTGAGGATGGAAAGCCACATGGTGAGCAACACTCCTGGGGCAAATGAAGTGACAAAAGGAGGAGAGAGGACAGACTGGGAGAGCAGGGAGAGGTAGATAGATCAGAAACCATGAGGAGGATACAGAGCAGGCTCAGCAGGGGTGAAGGGGGCTGGGGAAGGACAGTGCTAAGCCAAAGCCTGCCCTCCATAAATGCTTGGTGATTGAGTGGTTGAAAGGAGATGAGTCAGAAGGAGCGAGTGAGAAATGTGGAAAACCCAAGGACACCATGATTCCCAAACTGGACAAACGACTCCTAAACACAAGTTAATTGTATTCCATGCTCCTTCCACATCTCCCAGCATCTGCTTGGACCTCCTCCTCCCCAAATTCTCACTTCTTCAATCTTCTCTGCCTTCCTACTTCAAACAATTTCAACTCCTCATCGCCAGGAGAAAGTTTTTACATGAGACAATTAGAATCCTGGAACTTCAGTCATAGAAAGGATCATGAAAGATCGCTTGACCCACATTTATCATTTTGTACATGGGAAGCTTAAAAGAAAACTCGAACAAATGCAGAGAAGTGCAGTGACTTCTTCAAATGTACATGGCTGGCTAATGCCTGAGCCAAGGTCAGAAATCAGAGCACCCAACCACTACCTTTTCTTGACACTATATTGCATATCAGGCAAGCATTTTTTTTTTTTCTAGCCATCTTAACCCCAAATTCTAAAGTGTATCTGAAGAAATTTCAAACTTTCAAAGCTAATGTTTCTTCTCAAAAGCAACTCATGAAAGATACCATCTCCAAAGGGGATTGGAGAAGAAGGGTTAATTTATGGAGTACATACTAAGGGATAAGAGCATTGTGGGGAATTTTACATATCGTACCTCATTTATTCCTCATACTATCACCATGAGGCAGTTTTTACTGTCTTATAAATGGACAAACAAACAAACAAAAAACAAACAAACAAAAAAAGACAGCAAGGTTCTTGCCTAAACCTATCCAATTAAGTAACACAAGGGAGATTGGCTCCATATCTGATGGCTCAAAAAACCCATTATCTTTCCATTAAACTATTAAACGAGATCCATTTTCTCAACTCTCCCATCAAGTGAGAAATGATTCAGGACTCTGAGTGGAAAAAGCTTATGGCAAACTGAGAACATTACAGGTGTGGACTTCAAAAAATGCACGTGGAAAACAGGCAATTCAAGATGAGTTTCTCTTTTCACAGTACAGCAGGTTCTCTCCTGCAAAGGGAAAAACAATTTAATTACCCCACTGTTCTTGGGAATGAGACAAATATGTCATGCCTTCAAAAGGATTGGCTATTTTATTTTATTTTCCAAATTAACCCTCTTTTATCATCCCAGAGAAAAGGAAGTTCCTGAAATCCTTCCAGCTTTGCAGTTCTGTTCCCATTTCATCTTACCTGCGAGTGCCCTGTCACTATGGAGACTTGGTCAAACTCATGCTCATGCACTTAATCTTGCAATCTATGACTGACTGGCTGCTACTCCGTAGGCCAAAGAACAACAAGTTCTTAAATGAATTCCCCTAAGGAAACAGAGCTGCAGGCCAGTTGTTTAACCCCAGCCTGGGAAATGGCACTTGGGTAACATACAAGATTAAACGTGTTACTGTTTTCATAACACAAACTCGGAATGTTTGAAGTGAGACTTGGGAAATGAAAAGGTATACCAGGTGTGTTAACTATTCCACTGCTTATCAAACTTCCTAAGTTTGTTTCATTCAGCAAATATTTATTGTGCCAGGTAAACGTCTTGAATATTAAGTATGGAGATATAAAGATGATTAAAACACGGATTTCGGCCCCAAAGAACTCTAGGGACACAGAGAGGTAAATGAACCCTAGTATAATGTCATACATGCTATTAACAGAGACCCGGGGGAAGAAAACTAGAGGAAGGAACAACGAAGCCTTTTTAAAGGAGGGTAGAGGAAGTGAAGAGAGGGCATTAGAAAAAGCTTCTCAGATGAGGTAGCACTTGAGTCTGGTCTTAAAGGGTGGATTCGTGAGAAGTCAATAAGCAGAGGAGGGACAATGAAAAGAAAGTAACACCTAACACAGGCCTGGAAGTATGACAGGGACCAGGTAGTTAAGAGACCAGGCAGTTAAGGAACAGTGATCCAATGGGATTAGTATGTGAGCCCACAGTTCACGGATTGGCAGGTAGTGCGGATGGGAAATGAAGCTGGGATATAGAAATCAAGGCTTGAGGTGCCACATCTGTATGTGTTTGTTTGGCTTTGGGCGAGGAAAGGACATGATCAGATCTGGGTTCTAAAACGTTCATTTTCCCTTGGGTCTGAAGAAGAGATTAAGGGCAAAAGGAGAGGCAGGGATGACAACCTTGAGGTTTGTGTAACCATCTACGTGAGCGGCCTAGACCAGAGCAGAGGGGATACAGAAGAGGAGCCGGGGAAAGAAGAGAGGGATAGGTTAGAATTGATTAAGATAGAACTAGCAGGTCTTGGTGACAGATTGAAGGAGAGGAATGACGAATAACTAAGTACTAGACACACGTCCTGAAATGTTTCTAGCTTCTTAGTATTCTGTACCACTCACATCCAGCAATGTGGGAGATGCCAGCCATCCAGGACGATGTTCTGACTGCTCTAAAGCAGGATACTACCTTTCTTTCCACCCATCCACATGCACGAAGACATTGGGAACTGGACTGAAACATTTTAGTACCTTTTTTGGGGTTGGGGTGGTGTTTCTTATCCCTATGACCATCTGATTCAAAAACTCTGGGTGCTTTCATTGGGAAAATGCACCTGCCCACCATGTCAAGGATTTCTAAGGCCTCCCGGGGACCCTCCATGGAGCCATCTGCAGGGCCTTGGTGTTTGGAATCCTTAACCTGCATTTCCTTAGCTGCATTCGTTAGCTCCGACGTTTTCCAAGTTTGGCCCCCATTAAAATCACCTGGAGAACTTTTAAAATTCCAAATCAGAATCCCTGGGTGAGACTGGGTCTCTACAGCAGTGTTTCCCAAAGTGTGGTACGCATACCCCCAGGGGTATGGGAAGAGTTTGGTGGGGGTACGCGTTGCACCAGAGTTTGGTGGGGATATGCACTGCACCATGCTTAGCTGCGCCTAATTCTATGTTCTCATGAGTACGAGGGGTACTCAGCGTTACAAAAATTATAGAAGGGGTACACATATGTCAAAAGTTTGGGAAACACTGCTCTGCAGTCTATGTTTTAATTTGTCCAGGTGATTCTAAAACGCAGCCAAGCTTGAGAACCAACTCACTAAGTCTGTTTTTGACACCCAGTCGATCTAGGTGCTTATGTTCGACGGCTGCTTTTAATCCTTTAGTCAGAAACAGCAGAAAGGCGCCTGTCGCGGATATCATGTATTTACTCAGCATCACCCCAGGAAAAAGGGCTTGTGGTCTCACCCAGTTTTTTCCCCTGGGTCCGAAAGCAGCTGCAGTTTTCCCAGCGAACGCCAAGGGGCACCCTCGCCCTCCTGGTTCCACCTGGAAAGCCTCCCCATTTCGGATCCTACAGAAGAGACCCGCCTCTTCCCGGGTGACGTCACAAAGGGCCGGTCCCCCCGCCCCCTCGGCGCCACCACGTGTGTCCCCCACGCCCGGCGGCCACCGACTTAGTCCCTCGCCGGCGGCGGGTGCAGGCAGCGGAAGAGGGTGGCTGGCAGCGCCTGGAGGCTTCGCTATGGGAAGTTGTTCCTTCGATCTCTCGCGCCCAGCCCTCTCCCCGTGTTCTCCGCAGCGGCTCTGGGAGCAGAGCTCGGGGAGGCGCCGGTGGCAGCCCAGGCTGTCTCTCCCCGCCCGGGCGGCCGCGCCGCTGCTGGGCAGGTGCTGAGCGCCCCGAGAGCCTCTCCGTCGCCGCCTCCCTCCCTCCCTCCTCGGCCCCACGGCCCGGCCGCCCGGCTGCCGCAGTGCCGATGGGCTGCTGCTGGAGGTAGATGGGCTCCCGGCCGGGGAGGCGGCGGTGGATGCGGCGCTGGGCAGAAGCGGCCGCCGATTCCAGCAGCCGCCGGAGAGCCGCGCGCTCCCGCGGGCGCCTTTGCGGGTCCCCGGCTCGGCCATGGGGGTCCCTGCGAGCCGCAGCCCCGTCCTCGACTCCTGCAGCCGCCGCGCCGGAGCCGCGATGAGCGCCAGCCGCCTCCTCCTCCTGGTAAGCGCAGCGCCCGCCCGGAGGACCCGACCGCCGGCTGCAGGCGCCGCTCGCCCGGAGCGAGCGGGGCGGGGCGGGTCCCCGGGCGTGGACCGCGGGGGGCGCGGTGTCAGGCGGCTGGGGTAGGGGGAGCTTGCAAGGGAAGGCAACCCACCCGAGGGTCTCCGATCAGTTATTTGGCGGAGTGGCAGCTGGGGCTGGGGGGGATGAAGGCGAGTTGTTTTCCTTGCCATCGGGCTTCGTTGGAGGAGGCGCTAGATGTGCGGGCTGCCTGCGCATTTCAGGGCTTTTCCCCCTATTCAACCCCCTCATGCTCCACCTTCCCTCCTCCCCCCCGCCTTTCCCCAGCCTACTGCCGCTGCTCGCTCCGGGTGGGGTGGGCCCGCGGCTGCAGTGTGGGGTGCGGAGGGCTGGCGGCGGCCGGCGCTTTGTTGCAGCCGCAGTGTCATGCCGGGATGCTACCGCAGCGGGAGATGGTGCCGGTGCGCGCCGGACCCTGGGGACGCGGGAGACCGGCCGCCCGGTGCCCCGCGCCTCGCATTCCCCCGCAGGGCGCGAGCCGCCCCTCCCCCGCCGCTGCTCCCGGGCTCGGGTGGGTCCCCGTTTCTGCCCGCCGAGAACACAGAACCCTCAGACCCGCTCTCAGGGTCTCCGGAGCGCCGGCTCTCAGCCAGCCGGAGAGCTGGCACTTGAGTGGGGTAAAAGGGGGGGGGGGGGAGAGAACTACATAAAGGAAGATGAATTCTCTCCATCCTTATCCATCCCGCCTGTACCTGCGGCCAGGCAGGTGATCCTGCAGGGTGGGCAGGCTCCTTCTTCGGGACATGAATTGCCGTTAGCTCTGTGGCACGCGCTGAACCTAGTCCTCGATCACGTACATGGTCGAAGCCTGAAACTACCCTTGACCCAAAACTTATCCCAAACTCCCCCAGATCCCTTCCTTTTCTTTCCAAATGGTAAGAGGGGTTGGAAGCAAGTTAGGTGAAGAAAATGCCTTTGAGATCAATCAAACCCTGGAGCCACCATCAGCTTCCCATGCCTCTTTTTCTGTCTCTGCAGAGAAGATGGAGACTCTTAGCTAACAAACAAACAAACAAAAACATAAAAAACCAAAAAGCCTCAAGGCAGGCTTGCTGTCTCCTGCTGGAAAGGGTTTAATGCCTGGTCAGCCAAGATCTGCTTAGATCCCAGGGCAGCGCAGTTGCTATGGCCTGGAATTCATCCTACAGGCGCTCTGGTTCCCTGTGGGAGTGTGTGTTTTAAGGCGAAGAGGGAGATTAAAGAAAGTTTGGTGCTATTAGCATTTATAATGAAGCAAGTACCAGTCTCCCCTCAGAGGCTCTTTTCTGCCCATGTATAGAAATGACAAAGTGAAGATTTCTGTCCGAGAAACAAGTGTGGACGAGGAGTAGGAGGGGGCCCTTTCAAACAGCAAACCTGGGTTGACAGTCTTGGTGTGGAGAGAAGCCCATCTAAATCCATATTAGTAACGTTACCGTCATTGGAGCCAGCTCTGTCCTCCTTGCCCACCTTAGATCTACTATTCTACCCACCACGTGTATCTGTCCCGCCGACACACCTAATTACGTATTATTCTCCCCATAGATTCTGCTCCTAGGTTAACTCTTAAGTCAATGTAATATTTCATTTATTTTACCTGTTGGTATGAGTTAGGTGCTTGAAGTAAGGTCTTGATGTAATCTAAGTATTTAGGTTGCTTATTTGGCTATCTCTTTAAAAAATGAAATTGATAGCAGAGCTTAGACGTGATCTCAAGCTGTTAACTAAAAGAGGAGTCCTTGGTCTCTTGCTAACTATAACAGAAAGGCTCTTACTCAATTCAGGGAATGGCCTGGGGTTGATCCTTTTGTCCCACAGTGTGACTGAGAGGGTGTATCCAAGCTGTGAGGGGCTGGCTGTGCTGAAACCCGCAAGCAGGGTGGGGAGCAATATCTTATTTTTAATATCCCCACTCTGCAAGATCCAGTCCTCAGGACAGGTGTTGTAAAGTATAAAATGATCTTATGACATCGTTCTAGGGATTATTTATCCCATTGGATTCTTGGCTACAGAAAATGACAGGCACTAAGACCCAGAGCCCAGGTAAACCTGTCAGGTGTTCAGGATGCTCCTGAAGGAACTGGGAGGTTAGTGACCTTACCCATACATTGCCGTTAGATTAAAAAGTAATGAACCCGAAGTTTTAAAAATGGTGGCAGAGGAAGTGGAAGCTACAAACTGGAAATACAACTAAAATACAGAAAGAAACACCCTGAAAAACCAACCGAAGACTAGCTGGAGAGAACCCTTAGAACCAAGGACAGAAAGTGGAGATTACATGGAGACTGGCAGGAAGTGTGGAGGTGTGAAAGGGCCGGCCAGGCTCCCACAGACAGCAGCTGAAGGCCCGGAGAGATATCTCAGCTGTGGGGGTTCCTACTGAGAACTCTGGGGTCTAAAACCCAAGCTGGGCTCCCCAGCCTAGAGAGCCAGAACTGGGAAAGGTGCCCACAAAACATGTGGCTGTGAAAAGCAGCAGGGTTGCTGTCTACCAGCAAGAGATGGCTGGAAATGCAGGCACCCTCTTAAAGGGCCAAAACACAAAATTGTGTATGCAGCCACTCAGCTTTGGCTCCGCCAGAGAGTGGGCAGAGTGGACTGGAGCTGTGTGAGGGGAGTCCAGGGTTGGGGGCTTTGGAGGGTAGCCACCCTGGTTTTCTGTGCTGATTCATTCCCTTATGCTGCAGAGGACATTTTTCTCCGTGGATCTTTGCTATCCAGGTGGTTTTTGCCTGCTGGAGGACCTCTTGCCCCACCCTGACAGTCAGACTGCAGGCTGAGGCAGATCTCTGGAGGCTTTGAGACTTTGCCTGATCTCCTTTGGGTCTCTGGGCTAAGAAAAGCAGACATTGGTGCCCACCTTGGTCCTTTCCAAAGACATGCAGCCCCAGCAGAAGGAATCACAAGCTATGGATTGCTGCTAGGATCAAACAGGGTACTCAGGGTCAGTAACCAACAGCGTCTGACATTGTCCTGCACTAGAGATTGAGAGTTGTAGCAGATCTACCAAATACATAGATACAAACCAAACCGGCTAAAATGGAGGACCTCTTGCCCCACTCTGTGGTCAATAGCCTGAGGCTAATCTAGCATGAATAACAACTCCTAAATTAAAGAATAAGAGAATTCTCCAGAAGAAATGCTAACTGAAATAGGGATAAGAAACTCCAAATATAGAGCTCAGAATAATGTTGGCAAAGATGCTCAACAGCATGAGAAGAGATACAGTAACTATGAAAAAAACAATAGTCTGAAATGAATAATGACATAGCACTAAAAGAACACATTGGAAGGAATACACAGCAGATTAGAAGAAGTTGAAGATCAGATCAGTGAATTAGAAGACAGGGTAGGAAAGAAACCACTCAATCAGTACCAAAAAGAAAATAAAAACAATTAAATAGGAGGACAACTTAAGGGATCTGTGGGAAAACAAGAAATGTAACAATATTCACATAATAAGGAGAGAAGGAGAAGAAAGCAAGGGATAGAAAATGTGTTTGACAAAATAATGGCAGAAACTTCCCTAACCTTGTGAAGGAGAAAGTTACACAAGTTCAGGAGGCACAGAGTCCCAAGCAAGAAGAACCCAAACACACCCTCTCCCAGACACATCATAATTAAAATGCCAAATATTAAAGACAGAGAGAAAAGTAACTTGCTAGCTACAAAGGAGCTCCCATAAGGCTGACAGCTGATTTTTCATCAGAAACTCTACAGGCCAGAAGGGAATGGCATGAAGTATTCAATTTAATGAATAGCAAGGATCTGAAACCAAGATTAATATATCTAATAAGGCTATCATTCAAAATAGTTGGTGAAACAAAAAGCTTCCTAGACACAAAAGGCTAAGGAATTTATCACCACTTAATCAGCACTGCAAGAAATGCTAATGGGACTGCTGTAATGAGAAGAAGAGGGGGGAGAAGAGAGAGAGAGAGAGAAACATCCCAGAATATAGAATTAAAATGGTAATAAATAAATAAGTACCTATCAATGATACCCTTAAATTTAAATGGGTTAAATGCTCCAAGCAAAAAAATATAGGGTAGCTGAATGAATAAAAAAAAAAAAATGACCCAATTATTTGCTGTCTACAAGAGAGCCACCTTTGAACAAAAGATTCATACTGGATGAGAGTGAACAGATTAAAAGATATATCCATGCAAATGGGGGGGAAAAAAAAGCTTGTAGGAATACTCATATCTGACAAAATAGATTTTAAAATGAAGGTCATCATAAGAGACAACAAAGTTCACTACATAATATTAAAGGGATAGATACAATAAGAGGATATAATCCTGGTAAACATATGTACCCCAAATAGCAGCACCTAAATATATAAGAAAACTTCTAGAGGATTTTAAAGGAGAGATTGACAGCAATACAGTCATAGTATAGTACTTTAATACCCCCACTGACCTCACTGGATAGATCTTCCAGACAAAAACTTAACAAGGAAACAGTGACTCTAAATACATGGGGTCAGATGAATTTCATTGACATTTATGGAACACTTCACCTCAAAGCTGCAGAATCTGCATTCTTCTCAAGTGCACATACTTCATTCTCAAAGATAGATCACATGTTAGGACACAAAACAAATCTGTACAAGTTCAAGAAAATTGAAAGCATATCAAGTATCTTCTCAAATCACAGTGGAATTAAATTAGAAATCAACTGTAGTAAAAATAGTCAAAAACATTCAAACACATGGAGGCTAGATAGCATGTTAATAAGCAATGAATGGGTTATCAAGAGATCAAGAATTAAATTTAAAAAATTCCTAAAAAACAAATGGAAATGAACACACAACAACCTCAAATCTCTGAGATGCAGCAAAAACAGTCCTGAGAGGGAAGTTCATAGCACTACAGGCCTATCTAAAAAAAAAACAAAAACACACACACAAGAAAAATTAATAATAAAGTATTTAACCC